GGTGCTGTCAACAAGTGCAGTCCCGACACCCAGGGCCCAGGACAGAGGCCATGTGGTCAGTTTGGTGTCCCCGCGCCTTCACGTTTTTAGAAGAGTCAGTGAAAAGAAGTAACAATTTTGACATTGTGCATTCAGAACCATCTTAAAGACTTTGTCATTATAATAACCAATGTGTGTTTCTAACTTCATATCTGGAAGAAGTTACTTTGCAAATGAATTTGTCAGGACCAAAAGAATTTTAGATCCCCGCATGTTTCACCTTTTTGCTTTGGCTGCCAGGAAACTGAACTAAATCCTTTGCCCAGCTGCGGCAGTGGGTTCATTTGATTCCAGGCGTCTGTAAGTTGCCCTTGCACTGTATTGACAGAGGGTAGGCTGTCTGCACAGCTACCCGAGCACACGGACATCTAAGAGGAAAACACACCCTTGACATTTCCTGTAACCTAACCTGTTCTCATTCACTGAAACAGTGATTGCTTCACATCTCCAGACAGTGAAAACTCCCTTCCTGGTTGTAAGGCAAAGCCACTTGTCACACAGCCCGCAGTGACAAGCAGATCTGGCTGGGAACATCGGGGCTGAGCTAGCCAGCTTCTGTGTCTCCGTGGTCTCTGGAAGGAGAGGGTGGGCTGCGCCGCCCTCAGTGCCGAGGGCCTGGGTTGTGTCACTGGGTGCCAGGTGGCCCACAGGAGGCCCTGGTCAGGAAGGGTGTGGGTGAGAATCAATCGTGTTCATTAAACACGGGGGAGCTTCAGGAAGAACTGCTGCACCCCGAGGCTCACTCACAGCTGGCTGGGCCCGCGTAGAAGTGACTCCTGGCTCCGCCTGCATGCGGAGCCCGTGGCAAAGCCCCCTTGGAGGTCGGTTGGCAGCCTGGGACTGCTCAGGGGCCTGGAGAAGGCGCCATCCAGACCGGGCCACCTGTGCATCGCTGCGAGAGAAGCAGCCACAAGCTGCATGCAGAAAGAAGATTCAGGTTTTCTCCAGCATTGAAATGGTAGAAAAAAGAAAATGAAAACAAAAGCCTGCACACTGATGGAGACTAGCAGGGAGCGCACGAAGTTGAGAGGGTGGTTTTTGTCGGTGTGGTGGAGATCAGTCCCCCTGTGTCCTCCCCACTTCTACTTAACAGTACAGTAAGATATATCTAAGAGGAAGGAAAAAGAAGACCTTAATAGTCACCACAAGTTTGATTGCATGCCAGGGAGGAACGATTTTAATAGGGATCGATGCAGATGCCAAAGCTCATGTGGTAAGGAGGGGTGGGCCGTGGACTTATCATGCTGGGTGTGGGCCAGGGCCTTCTTTACAGAGCAGAGCAGAGACTCCCCAGCTCCTTGCCTCAGTTTTTTGTTGTTTTGTTTTTTCTGGCATGCCTAGACTCAAACATCTAATGGTCTGAACTTAGTGTTTCTGACCTAACAACATTCTGGCTATATGTATTTGTTTCCTTTTGCTACTATAATAAATTACTTTGAACTACACACATTTACCATTTCACAGTTCTAGGGGCCAGAAATTCGAAACCCACCTAAGTGGCTAAAGTCAAGGTATTGACAAGACTCCTTCCTGAGGCTCTGGAGGAGAATCTTCTCTGCCTCTCCCAGTATCTGACCTGCACGCCTTGGCTTGTAGCCTCCTCCTTCACTCTCAGAGCCATCATCACAGCTCTTCTCTGACTCTGATCCTATTGTAAGGTCCCTCGTGATGATGTCAGGCTCATTTTTGTAATCCAGGGTTCTCTCCCCAGTTCACGGTTCTTAGCTTAATCCATCTGTAAAGTGTACGTCACCACAAGGCAGGCATTGGGCACGGTCACTGGGCAAGGCCTGCGTCACCAGCCCTCCTGGTGTGTGACCTGTGACTTGAGGATTGTACCCTGGGGGAACCTTGGCCTGCCGCTGGGCAGGACAACTTGGAGGTCTGCAGTCTGGTTTGCAGCTGGTCTGTGTCTGCATCTGTCACTGCTGTGCAGACCTGCATCTGGGCAGTGTGCTGCTGTGTGTCCTAGGTCCTCCTGGTGGGGGGAGCAGCATGTCTTGTAGTTCTTGGGGACGCTGAGAACAAGTGCAGGATTGCAGAAAGTTCCGGATTCCTCCCCAGGGCTCCTCCAATCCCACTGATTGCTCAAGGCCGCCTGCCATAGAAGCAGCAGCCTGTGCCCGAGGTGCTGGGGAAATCAGAGTTTGAGCAAAGCGCGGGCTGTGGGATGTGGCCGGGCCGCAATGCTGCAGTCACGCTGCAGTTCCCCCTGCAGCTGGAGGCGGGGGGTGGGGCTCTCCTTGCAGCTGCCGTCTCTGCCCACCACTCCCCAGGTCCCTGCCCTCCTTCCTGCAGGGCTCCCCACTGCCCTGACGCCTGTTCAGGCCCCTTTGGCCTCTTCCTCCTCCAGGAGCAGCTGCCTTTGCTGCCTGGGGTCCTGCGTGTAGCTCTTCCAAGCCAAGGGCCCTGCTGCCGTCTTCTCAGGGCTGGTCCCCTCCTTGTCTCCCCAGGCTGCTCGGGACTTTGACACTGCAGTGCTCTGGACACCTCCTGGAAAGCATGGGGATCGATCACTGGAGGCCCAGGCTCTACTTAGGTTTTTATTTAATCAGCCGTCCCTCCCCCTCCCTGTCCCAGCCACACACAGGCCGGCTCCTTGCTGGGGGCTGACTCACTGCAGGAGCTCAGCAGTGTGTGAAATGAGGGGTGACAGTAGTGTCTCAGAGGACACGAGCCCCCGCTGACTCTGAGCTCTGCCTCTCCCGGAGTCTTGCTGCCTCCCTCTGGTGACAGACCCCTCCTCACATGAAACCCAGCATCTCGTCGGGGACAGCAGAGGGGTCTCAGGTCTCCTGGATGGAGGACAGAGCGCTTGGACTAGAAGGGAACCAGCCTGCACAGGTCCCTTGGGTCTCGGCTTCGCATCCAGGGCCAGGCCACACGGCCCTTCTGACCAGGGGGACTCCTTTCCTGTCCTCTGGCGGTCACTGTGTGCCAGCTGCGTTGTCATGATAACAAGAGGAAACTGCCAGCCCTGTATTCCTTTCCCACGCGTATTCACAGGGGCAATCACGGGGACAGTGGACTCCCTCCCTCGCATTCCTGGTGCCCAGGCAGGGTGGATGTCCCGCAAGCGCTGCCTGCGGGACGTGGAGTTTCCTGTGTCTGTTGCGTTTGCGTGTCACTGTATTTATCAACATTAGGGATAATGTTGCAGCGTTTTTCTCCACATCACTGTTTTTGAGTGTTTTGAATTATTTTCTAAAGATAAATTCCAAGCATATGAATTCCCGACTCAGAGGAAAGGAATAAATAAGAATTATGGAAACTAAAAGGCTTTCTGAGGGCTTGTTGCTGGCAGCATTTGTGAATATTAGTCACCAAACCCTTCCCAGTACGGGGGTTGTAATTTTTAAATTTTTGTGACTCTGTAGCCTACGACTGTTGCTGATTGCTGTAGCTTGCGTGTTTATGTATGTGGCTGTTGGTATTGGCTAAGAATTTGCGGGAGCATTCGATAGCTGTATTTTGTCTTTGTGCCTTGCCTGTTGGAGTCGTCAGTGCCTCTTTTAGAAGACGGTTTCTCTGGGTGGAGTGAGTGCATGTGCGGCGTACACCAGGCTGGCTCAGCTTCCCCGCTGCACCCTGCAGCCCATCCCCGGTGCGTGCTGGGTCTCGTGCACTGGGTGATGTTCTGTTCTCCCGAGGGGCTAAGATGTGGTCTCCAGTGCAGTGTCATTACCTCTGGTGGGGGACGCTGCCCAGAGCATGGCCTTGGCTGGAGGACACAGCCAGCGAGGGGGCCCGATGCACACCCCAGCCTGTGACACCCTGCCCTCCCAGCACGGACAGCCCTGCTGTGGTCCTGGCCCAGAAAGTGCTTTTGAGCCAAGGTTTCTGCCTTTGTGTGGACCAAGGCAGACTCTGCAGGCTCCCCTGAGGGTGTGCTGAGGCCTCCGGAAACCCGGAGCAGCCGTCCATCTGACTCGTGTTTAAAAATATCTCGGGCTGGGAGGCTGGAGGCTCCACGGTCGGTTCCTGCACACTGGGGCCGGCGGGTAGTGAGTGTCTGTTGATGCTGACTGCCCTCCAAGAGCTCTCAGTTCCACAGTGCTGCTCGGCCACTGGCCCTGCCCCCAGCAGGCAGCATCCCGGGCACGGGGCATCCGGGAGGATAAAGGTGTGCTCTTCCCGAGGGCTGGCCCTTCAGGGGCTTTGCCTCCTGCTCGGCCGCTGCCCGCTGGTGCAGAGGAAGGGTCCCTGCATGGGCAGAAAGCTCCTGAATGAGGGCTGGGAGGTTGGTTTGGGGGCTGAGAGTGTAACCCAGCTCTGTTCCTGACCCCGACCCGGTACCCACATCCACGCCAAGTCTGTGCGTAGCAGACATACAACAAGCTCTCTTCAGTCCAGCGTCTGCGCTGGGCAGCGCCTGAGCATCAAGGGAAGCGCGCATAGAAGCCCACCGTGGGCGTCCAGCAGGAGCAGGTACCACTGGGGCGCAGGGAGAGGCAGGGCCCACTCGAGCTGTTCCAGGTGGCGCAGGGAAGGGCGTCCAGGCGGGAGCGTCACACTTAGGTGCCCTGGCGGGGTGTGAGAGGCATCCCGGGAGGCCAGGCTGGCTCTGGGCTGGAGAGAAGAGTGAGGTGACAGGAGCAGGGCCGTGCCCTCTCCACCACGGGCTGCAGAGGCCGACCGCGAGGCCACGGCCGGAGCATCCCTGCGTCCACCCCAGGGCAGTGCGTCTGTGTGGTGTGGTCTGTGCCCGTGAGGCGGGTATTCACTGGCCTATTTCGCAGATCCCTGTTGTGTGGCTGGCACATTGCAGGTGTCGACAGGAACAAGCAGCAGGGGAAAATGACACAGGTAGAAGCATCCCCACCTCCTGCAGTGCAGGGACGACTGTGCTCACAGGCGTGGCCCCGCGCGCCATTTCCATCTGCGCTGCGGTTGTTCAGTGTCCCTCCTGGGAGGAGAGGCTCCAAGTGGCGCTGATGCTTATGTGTCTGCTTTTCCTCCAGATGCCTTAGGCCACCAAGCTGCCCTGGGGGACTCGTCCTTGGTGGCGGCTTCGTGTGCACGGGAGGCCCCCCCACTTGCGCACCTCGGAAGCTGCCCCTCGACGCCTGCCTGCACCATGGAGACCCCGGAGGTGCCCGTGGGCTCGCTGATTGACTTTGGGACCGAGCCGCCATCCTCCCCTCCCCTGGAGGCTGTGCCTGCGACCCTCCAGGACAGGGACGGCTCCCTGGGTGATGGCGCATCTGAGAGTGAGGCCACTGAGTCCGCAGACAGCGAGAATGACATGGGCGAGTCGCCCTCCCACCCCTCCTGGGACCAGGACCGCCGCTCCTCCTCCAGTGAGTCCTTCTCCTCCAGCCAGAGCGCGGAGTCAGCCCAGGACGAGGAGACCCTGGCCCTCCGGGAGTTCATGCGTGGCTACGTGGAGAAGATCTTCTCCGGAGGGTAGGCCCTGCCTCTCCCCGGGGACCTCCTGGGGCCACCGCTGTGGCTTTTACCCAGCCAGGTTGCATGGGGAGTCTCTGAAGGACCCCCAGCCAGGCGTGGTGGCACATGCCTGTAATTCTAGCACCTGGGAGGCTGAGGCAGGATTGCCGAGAATTTGAGGCTGGCCTGGGCTGCATAGTAAGTTCAAGGCCAGCCTGCTGCCCACGTCAGTGCATCCTCCTTGCTTTTTTTTTTTTTTTTTTTTAGTACTGGGAATTGAACTCAGGTCCTTGCGCTTACCAGGCAGGCACTTGTGCCACTGAGCTATATCCCTGGGCCAAAGCATTTTTTTTTGTTGTTGTTGTTGTTTTTTCTCTGGTACCAGCAATTGAACTTACAACCTTGCGCTCGCAGGCAGGCACTGTGCTGCTGAGCTAAAACCCCAGCCCAAAACTTTTTTTTTTTTTTTTTGTCTTTTTGAAACAGGGTCTCGCTATGCAGTTCAGGCTGACCTTGAGCTCACTTTGTAGCCCAGGCTGGCCTTGAACTTGCAGTGATCCTCCTGCCTCAGCCTCCTGAGTGCTGGGATTACAGGCCTGCTCTACCAGCTGCAAAGGTTTGTTCCGGGAACTGAAAGGCTTTGCTTTCCCTCTGCCGATCTGCAGGGAGGACTTGGAGCAGGAGGAGAAAGCCAAGTTTGGAGAGTACTGCAGCAGTGAGGACGGCAAGGGCCGGGAGTGGTTCGCCCGCTATGTGAGCGCCCAGGTGAGGCCCCGCGGAGGCCCGGAGGAGACTTCCTCTTAGGGAGGGACCAGCTATGGGCAAGGACCTCCCTGCCTCCCTGCTTCCACTCTGGGGATGAGAGTTAGAGGAGCTGGGTGTGGTGGCACATCCCTGTGATTCTAGACTCTGGGAAGCTGAGGCAGAAGGTTGCAAGCCCAACGCAGGCAACTTAGGGACTTTGTGAGACCCTGTCTCAAAATAAAAGTTCAAAAGGGCTGGGTATGTAGCTCGGTGCAAAGGCCTAACAAAGAAACCTCCCTGAGGGAACTGCACAGAGAACCTGAGGAAGAGGGTGAGGTGGTGGGCGCAGTGCCCCCTAGGGGAGGAAGGGGTGTCAGCTCCAGAAGTTCCAGCAAAGCTCCTTTTGAAACCCAGATGAATTCGGGGCATGGTGGCTCATGCCTGTAATCCTACCACTCGGGAGGCTGAGACAGGAGGACTGCAGTGAGTTTGAGGCCAGCCAGGGCAACATAGCAGGACCCTTTCTCAAAGACGTTAAATAAACAAACCCAAGTGCATGGGCTCTGTCCACACATAGTGTATTAAATAGCCCACAATATTCAGTATTTGCAAAAGGTAATATATTCAAGAAAAGAAAAATGGACTAAGCGAGCAGAAAGAAGTGTATTTGCAAGCGCCACATGACGAGTTCTCCGTGTGAAATAAGAAAGTGCAGCAGGAGCCAGCTGCGCACAGAGCCACGGCCCGGGGGCTCCTCCCAGTACACTTTCCCGGGTCTCGTGGGTGCGCGTGGCGGTTCTGTGACTCAGGAGGGTGCCCCGGGGGACTCGTGGGCGAGAGCGTCCTGCCATGTGCACCACCAGCCCTGGGTCCTGGAGGAAGGGGAGTGGCCATCCAGGGCCAGCGCCAGCTGCGCTGTGCGCCCCGTGCCAGCCCCCGCTCTGAGGCTGCGCGGGCGGCACTGCGCCCCACGGACAGCCCCGCCTGTCTCCGCAGCGCTGCAACTCCAAGTGCGTGTCGGAGCCGACCTTCTACCGCCTGGTGCAGTCCTTCGCCGTGGTGCTGTTCGAGTAAGTGCCGCCTCCCCTGCCGCTGAGGCAGCCAGCTGTGAGTCACTCGGCAGGAGTGAGGAGGGGCAGTCGGGACCAGATCTCCGGGGAGCAGAGCCCCTCCCTACCTAGAAGCCACTGGCGCTGCAGCTGGGCTGGGCGGAGGACAGCCTCCCACGCTGGGGACTGGCTACACCCCCCCTCCCCTTGGGGCCCTGCGCAGTTCCACCTCCCAGTGGGGTGCCTGCCGCCTCATGCCAGTCCACCCTCAGGCTGTGTCGGGCTGGTAGCTGCTCTGTGGGCTGCGGGTGGCCAGCAGGGCAGCGCTGTGGGCCGCAAAGGCATGGCCAGTCCCTCCCTGCCTCTGCCCACCCATCGGCCGAGGGACAGGGCCCCAGGGTGCACGTGGCTCTAGGATGGCCAGTCCCCCTTCGCTGCTTCTGTCCCTGATTAGAGCAGGCGCTCTGCCCTCCATGTAGCCGCCGTGGTGACCTGCAGTCTCATCTGCAGCCGGGTTGAGAGGAGGGCCTCTGTCGGGGGAATGGGCCAGGGGCGCGGCATGTGTCCTCAGGGAAGACCTGCTGGGGCCCTGCCTGTCCTCCAGTCCTGGGCTTGTCCTCTGTACCCCCACACACCCACCTGTCGCCAAGCACCTTTGCCCTTCCAACGCCTCGCTCTGTGCTTGTCTGCATGGGGTGGTGTGGGGGAGGCTGCTTCTCTACCTTTGCCTATCCTTGCTGCCCTAAGAACATGGCAGGTGCCGGGGGAAGGGATGCTGGAGAGAAGGGTCCTGTCTTCCTGTGCTGGCTCCCTATGTCCAGGGCGAGGAAACACAGCTCAGGTCTGGGAAGTCAGTAGAACGGGGCCCAGCGCCCCGTGGCCTGGGCTCTAAGCACCTCCATGCACAGACCCTCAGAGCTCTGGACGCTCCCAGGAGCCCTTGTTTTGCATAAGTTGCTCTTGTCCCGCACAGGATTTATTGGGTTGCATACATTTTAGTTTATAGTAGCTTCGGTTTTACTTTGTCCAGGCCGACTCCTGGTCCTGGGTGCTTAGCTTTGCTTCCTGGGTCTTGACTTTGACCTTCGAAGTGGAAGAAGCCAGGCTTGAGGGTGTGAATGACTTCCTGCCAGAGTCAGGCTGGTCCCCTGTAGGCAGCTGTCCCAGTCGGTCCAGGGGATGATGCCGCTCCCTTCTGCCCTGGCTCCGCTACAGAGCGAGGGGCTGGCGTGCTGGGAAGCGCTGGGGGCTTGCTGAGAGAACTCAGGTGGAGGGCTGTCTGGCAGTCGCCCTGCTTGTCGCTTCAGGTGCCATCAGATGGACGACTTTGGGCCCGCCAAGAACCTCATGACCATGTGCTTCACCTACTACCACATCGGTAAGACGGAGCGCCTGGCACAGCCCCCTGGGGGCTGAGGCTTGCCAGCGATAGCGAGGTGTCAGCAGGGGCTTTCTTCCCAGTGAAAGGCAAAGTGACAGGGTGTCCGAGAACAGAAGCGACGCTAGGGAGGGACAAGCAAGGGGGAGCCGTGGTCCCCAGAGAGGAAAGACTACGCTGCGGGGAGACGAGCGCTGGCGGGAGGGCCACGGCTTCATGTCCCGCAGGACCACCCGTGGAGGTGGCTGCGGTGTGGAGGTGGCTGGGGTGCGGGGCAGTCAGTCCAGGCTCCAACCCTCGGGGCTGGACCCACCGCTGTGAAGAGCCACTCGTCCCCCGGGCTCACTGCACTGCAGCCCTGGGCTGAGGCAGCCCGGCTGGCCGAGCCCAGCTCCCTTCTAAAACCTCCCTCCTCACAACACAGCCGTTTCCCTCTGCATGCGGCTCCGAGCCCTCCTGCTCCCAGCCGCCCACCTCTCTATTCCCCACGGCTCTGTTGGCAGCAGCTGGCCTGCCTGCCAGAGCTCCTGGGCAGGACGCCACAGCGCAGATGCCTGGCATACATAGGCTCTGCATGCCAGGCCGTGCCTCAGCCCCTTGGGCCAGGTGGGAAGTTGTCTTCTCAGAGAATGGTTCAGGTACGGTGCAGGCAAGCCCACCCACAGGGAAGCTGAGGCAGGAGGATCACAAGTTCAAGCTCAGCCTGGGCAACTTAGTGACCTAGAGAGACCATCTCAAAATGGAAAGCAAAACAAGGCTGGGAGTGAAACTCAGTGCAAAGGCCACGGGTTCTGCCGCCAGCACTGCAAACAAACAGACTGGTTCAGTGCCTCTTGCCCGTCCGGGTCTCTGCACAGGGCCCCTTCAGCTACCAGAGCCCCCCACACCAGCAGCTCTTGCAGCGGCCCCGTGGGGTCGCCCTGCCAGTAGGGGAGCCTGTAGGCTTCTGCGCCTCGTTTCACTCCTGCCAAAGGCGCTGTCCAGGTGCCATGGGGCTCACCGTGGGCCTCGGGGCCTCACCCTCAACCTCGGGAGCAGCCCACTCCGCTGGGGCCGGGCCGCGGTCAGGCTTCTCCGCGGAGCTCGACCTGCGGGACCCTTTCCCGTCCCTCCGAGGCTGCAGGGCTGCTCCTGCCTCTCTCTGCCAGGCTGGTTCTGGCTGACCGTGCACAGGTGGCCTCAGCGGCGCCCCAGGAAGGAGGCCCGTCCCTCCCTGTCCCCCCTCAGGACACACGCCCAGGCTGCCTTGCCTCTGCTGTGCCCTGGGAGCCGCCCTCACCCTCACCCCTCTCCCAGGCAAGCCGAACCCTCTGCCCTCGGAGCCCAGGGAGAGGGTGGTGGGCAGCATCGACGCCTACCTGAAGTCCGCCAACAGCTGGCTCGCCGAGAAGAAGGACATCGCCGAGCGGCTGCTGAAGAACACGGAGAATGTGAAGGGCTTCTTCGGGGGGCTGGAGACCAAGCTGAAGGGGCCCCTGGCCAGAAGGAGCGAGTGAGTGTCATGGGGTGGGAACGGTCACCCTTCCAGCCACCTGCGTGACCCCGCCGGCTTTCTGGGGCTCCCCCAGCTGCGGCGTTCCCGGACATGCAGCGCATGGGCTGGCCAGTTTCTGGGACTGACGGGCACTGGCGGGGGCATTCGGCAGCAAGTTAGTATCAGTGGGATGCAGAAAAGACCTGGGAAAGCCGCCGCGCCGGGAGAGTGGCGCTTCCACTGGAACCCCCACCCCCAGGCGCGTGCACGCTGAGATGCATAAAGACCGGCCCTGGGCACAGGGCGGAGGGAGCCCGCAGCAGCCCTGCCCGCCCTGCGGGCCCCTCAGCGCCTCCAGTAGCTTGGTTATGGCCAGGGATACAGCCTCATTCTTCCAGGCCCACGAATCCACCCAGATCAGGCCACCGGTGTGGTCCTGATTGACGAACACAGAGGAACCATGCCGGGCACACACAGCCGGCTCAGAGGTGTGAGGTTTCTTTGGAGAAAATGTTTGTCACTGCTGTGGTTTCTCTCCCTCCAGGGACGATGAAAACAAACCCAAGGACAAGCCGCCCAAGACTGGTGAGGATGGGGTCCTGGGAGCCTCGGGAGGCGGGGCCTGTGGGGGCGGGACTCCTGGAGAGGCGGGTCTGTGGGCGGGGCTACCGGGGTGGGCAGGGCTAGTGGGGGTAGGACGTTGAGGAAGACCTGGCCTCATCTAACCCAGACCCCACAGGGACCTTAAACCAGCCACCATTACCCAACAAGGGGATCAAGCAGGACCGTAACATGTCAGGGCTTCACGTCCTTCTTTGTGACACAAGACTGATGTCCTAGGGCCGTGATGGCCAACCTTGTAGAGCTTTCAATGATTAAAAACATCTAGGGCCTCGCGTGCCCTAGATGATCCCGAGTTTATCTGTACTTTGTTACTGAGCTTCTGGGGAAGAGCCGCTTTTCTAGGAGGGCACACAGGCCTGAAGGTCTCTATCCCAGGGAGGTTGATAGAGTGCCGCGGTGCAGGGATGCGTGCAGCCCCAGTTGCGCTGTACCGCCCCTGGCTGTGTGTCTCCGTGACCGCTGGTGGCGGCGGGGTGGAGCGTGATGTGCTCTGGGGAGCTGTGGTCCACACCCAGCCCTCATCCGAGCCCCCTTCTCCCTGTCCCGCAGTGACAGTGCCCAGCCCTGAGGAGGAGCCGAAGGGGGAGAAGGTCTACCTGTACACGCACCTGAAGCAGCAGCCCATATGGTAAGGCCCCGCCTCACCTGGGGGCAGCAGCTGCACCCAGCTGCCTGTGTCCCCATGGAAAGTGGCAGTCGGCCACACATCCAAGGTGGCCAGAATGGAAGAGACGAATGCTTACAGTGTTGGCCGTGAGGTACAGAAAGGAGAGGTCTCCTCCCCTGCGGGGCGGGGGATGGACAGCAGCTGGGCTGGTCCTCAGAGGTCAGCCGAGTGGCACGCGATCCAGCTGTCCTGCTAGATGTGTACCCAAAAGAGGTGAGGACACACGGCCTCATGGAACCTATGCTCAGATTTCCGAGGTGCTGCTGTGTCGGAGCCCAAAGTGGGCGCGGCCCAGACGTCCCCCCGAAGGTGCGAGGGTTAGCAGGGTGTGGTCTGTCCGTGTCACACAGAAAGGCGTAAAGAGTGACACATGCCATAACACGGGTGGCCCATGGCCGCACCATGCCGAGTACAGGTGCGGCAGGTGTGGGGGCACAGATCACCTCACCCCGTTTGTGGGGGCTGTGCAGAAGAGGCCGTTCCCGAGCCGCGGTGGACTAGTGGCTGCCAGGCTGGGCTCTGCACGGGCGCTGCTCGGGCTGTGCTCAGAGTGGAGAGGCTGCACCACGCACACCCACGCAGCACTGCATGGCTCGCTACTTTTTTGTGATACTGGAGATTGAACCTCGGCCCTCTATACTGAGCTGCAGCTTCGGCCCTTTGTAAAGTGTTTACATTTTGGGCAAGATCTTGCTAAATTGTTAAATTTCCCAGACTAGCTCAGACTTGTAATGTGCAGCTGCTGCCTCCCAGAGTGCTGGGATTCCAGGCATCATGCCTGGCTGAATCATCACTTACGTATTTCGTGTGTTGGGAATGGAACCCAGGGCCTTGTGTGGCAGGCGGGTCCCATGCCAACGAGCACCCCAGCCCAAATTGAATACATTAAAAGGCGGATTGCAGGGTATGTGGATACATTCCAACTGTGTGTGTGTGTGTGTGTGTGTGTGTGTGTGTGTGTGTGTCCACCTGGGTGGACAGATATACAGTGAAGGTTGTAGTTGAAGTTCAGACCAGTTGCTGTGGCCCGTTCTGGTTTACGTGTGTCCCCCAGGAGTCCGCATGCGGGAGCGATGGTCCTGGCGGCAGTGTGAGGTGGTGAACAGCAAGGCTTTGCACAGGGATTAGGTCCTGGGCGCTGCCCTGGAAGGCGCTAGTTTCGTCCAGACAGTGTGTGTGAGCTCCCACAGGAGGGTGTGGTCAGCACCCGGCCGCCAAGTGCTCCGCCTCTTCCAGACTGTGGTACAGTGGGGACCCTGCCCAGCCCCCACGACTCTGGTGGGACTTCCCAGCCATGGGAGTTGGAGCCACAGACTTCTCTTTCCTGCACACATTGCCTGGTGTCAGGTCTTTTTCCTGCACACCTGCCAGTGTCGGGTGTTCTGTGTCGTCATCAGAACTAAACAGACGGCGCCCCCCACCCCATGGTCAGGGAGGTGGCTCCTGGCTCTGGGGGATCGGCATTGTCCTTGGAGGCCCGGGCCACCCTCCCTCTGAGTGCTTTATCCATCCACAGGTGAGGCGCTGGCACCTGGGGTCGCAGGTATCAGCCACAGCCTCCCTCAAAGTCATGGGCGAGCTGCTGTGTTTGCCCACGCCAGCTAAAGTCCTGTGAGAAGTGTGGCCGGAACGCACTCGGGCCGGGGCCAGGCTTGGGTCCTGCCAGCCAGGGTCCCACCCAGGAGCAGCGCCTGCTCTCGGCCTCGCTGCTGTCTTATCGCCAGGCACACTTCTCTGTGAGGGCTAGATAATAAGTATTTTAGGCTTCATGGCCTCTGCTGCAACCGCACAGCTGTGCTGCGGTGGCCAGAAGCGTGTAGATAACAGGCTCTTGAGCCCAGGCAACCCTGCCCCACAGATCTGGCGCTGTGCCGTAGTTGGCCCGCCCTCTCTTCCTCACGTGTGTGACCCCGTGTCCCCTCAGCACATGTGTGTCCCTGCCAGGGCCCGACTGACCTCAGGAGACCCCTGGCCATCCACTTCCTCTCGGGATCGTCGAGGGTACGGGAGGCAGCAGTAGCGGCAAGCTGCGGAGCCGAAGTTTGCGGCTCCAACCCCTCCAAGCTCAGCTGAGCTGGGTCAGGCTGCTCTGCCTCGCTCTCTCCTGGGCTCTGCACAGCTGACAGCAGCTGGGGAGGAGCTCACGCGGCCTCTCCTCCCGCAGGCACACGCTGAGGTTCTGGAACGCTGCCTTTTTTGATGCCGTCCACTGTGAGAGGAGGAAGCGACCCCCGACCACCAGGTAGGAGCCCAGGACACCCGTCTCACTGGCCGGCCAGAGGACAGGGCACGGGTGGCAGATTGCCTGCGGCGCCCTGGGGCCCTGCTGGCTGCCCGAGGCTCGGGCGCTCACGCTTGGACGGGGGTGGGGTGCTCAGCTTGCATGAGTGCTTTCCGCCCGGCTCTGGCATGACTTGGCCTGACCCTCCTAACACTGCAAACCACCCAGAATGAGCCCGCCAGGACCCCATAACCCTGCTGTCCACTGCACGCAGCCAGCGTCCTGGGGACCGGCTGTTGGGGTGCAGGGCTCCCAGGGCTGTCACTGCTGTCTGCCCACCCCGGGCTGCTGCATGGGCAGAAAACCACTTCTGAAAGCCCAGGCAGCTGAGGGTCTGCACTTGCGCTGGTCAGGTCCAGAAGCCAGGCCAGCCCCAGCTGCCCGTATTGCCCAGGAGTTGCGTGACTTTGAGGTCTCTGAGCCTCTCAGAGCTTTGCTCTCTGGGATGAAGAGAGTCTGCTGCCCCCTAGCGGAGGCCTGAACCGCCCTCACTTGGGATGGATTGGCTGAGTGGAGGGCAGAGTGGGGACCGGGCTCTGCTACCAAGGGGCGACCTAGACGCGTCCCTTCCGCCCGCCTGTACCGCACAGCAGCGGCTCCCTCTCCTGGGGAGGTGGAAGGGGCGCCCGGGGCGCAGAAGCCCCCGAGGCCCTGACAGAGGTCGAGTTCTCTGGTGGAGACTCAGTGAGGGGGGCGCTGAGTGCGTCCGGGCAGGCGGTGCTCAGCTCCGAGGAGGTGGGTGCGTCCGAGCGGCCTGTCTCTGCTGTCTGTCCCGCCTGTGACGTCCTCTCCGCTCGTGCCCCTCCATGCACAAATCTCGCATGACTCTGACATGTTCCTCTGTTTACCTGTTTCTGCCGCCGCTCCAGAGGGGAAGCTGGAGAGCAGGAGGATGAGAGGTGTGTGTCCCCGTGACGCGGTCACGCAGCGCCTGCAGGGAGGGAGGGCGTGCAGTCCCGGCCGGGCCTCCCTGAGGCAGCCAGCATACCTGTCGCCCGGGCCACCCAGAGGCAGGCACAGCCTGGCTCAGCTGGAGAGCAGGAAGGCGGGAAACGCCCCAGGTGGGGCAAGCCAGGCTCTCCTCCACCACCCAGGCCTTCACAAGCCCCAGACTGGGCCCTGGTTGCCTCCCCCTGGGAGCAGAGGTGTGGAGTGCTGGGGCTGACAGGCTTGCAGCCATGTGGAAGGACAGCGGGGATCCCCTGAAGAATAGCCAGGCGGGGCTGTTTCCTGGGGGCCTGGGGTGGGGTCTGATGCTCACATCTCAGTCTCTCCTTTGTTGGCAGCGCTTGCCATGTTCATTCAAAGACCTGTCAGAGAGGCGGGCACCATGTGCCTGCCTTGCAGAGGGGTTGCCCTAGCAGGGGCCCTGTACCCCTACGTGCTGGCGGAGGGTGCTGCCTGAGGAACTGTGACCCACGCAGCCTGGCTCTGTCGCTGGAAGGACACTCGGGTGAACAGACCTCCTCTAGCTAGGGAGGCCCCCAAACCCCACCATCTCCCAGGGACAGTGACGAAAGGCCCCAGAGCACGGCTCCTTGGCAAAGGGTGGGGGCACGATGGCCTCTCTGAGCTCAGATCTGAGGCTGTCCAGAGCCCCGCGGAGGAGCTGCCAGCCACCCTGGCCCGAAGCCACTCAACAGCGCCCCCAGCCTCGTGTGGGCCCCCCTGCCCAGGCAGCCCCTTCTTCTTGGCTCCAGAGGCAGGTGCGGTGTGTCTCCCCATCAGAGGTCTCACTCTCAGACAGCCTTGGTCATGTGCAGGCCCACTGTAGCAGGGAGACGCGTGTTTGGAGGCCAGTGTGTAGGGCTGGACCCCGGGCAGTGCCCTCAGGAAGTGGCTGGCCAGTGGGAAGAGGTCCTGGTTCTAGTCCCGACGCAGCAGGCAGGAGGGCCTCTCCCCACGGGACCACACCACATGGAGGGTTGCCACGCGGTCCAGGGGTGTGCAGTGCCCTGTCCACACGCCTGTCCATGGCGGGCTGGTGGTGGTGTGGGCATCGTGTGCCTGGCCAGTCCTCAGGATGCCTGTGGAGGGAGGAGAGGAAGGACGTGTCCTCTGGGGACAGTGGCGTCCTGCCATCAGCGTGAGGAGTTGAAGGGGGCCTCCGCTGTCCCCAAGTCCTGTGGCCCCTCCCGAGCTGCATAGCCGGGGACCAGGCAGCAGGGTGGGCAGGGCAGGCTCGCGTCCCCCGTCTGTTTCTCTCCGTGGCCTCTCCCCGCTCCGGACCTCCCTCCATGCGCCTCTCTTTCCTTGTTCTCTGTCTAAGCCTTACTCAGCCCGCCTCGTCCGCTGAGCCTCCTGTTTTGGGGAAATGGGCAAAAACGAATGCCCTCCGGCCTGCAGCTGCCCCTCCTTGGCCCTGGGGCCCCACTGTGTGCGGGCAGTGTGGGACAGGAAGGCGCCCGCTGGGGCTCATGACCCCCACCTGCGCAGGGAGGAGGCCTCTCGCTGGAGCCCTGGTTTCAGCCCCTGACCCGCCAAGAACCCGTAGCGTTTCCTGCACCCATGGGGCAGGTGACACCCGTGGTGTCACCACCCACTCATGTGCAGAGGCGAAGGACAAATCCCTTCCTCTGGCCCTGCCCCTGAGGGTGGGAAGCATTCTAGAGCGAGCCGGTGCTCAGGCTGAGCAGGGCCGTGGGTGGGTCTCCTCCTTGTGCTGGAGGGGGAGGGGAGGACCGGCCCAGCAGAGACACCCCAAGACACCACCACGGGGTCCTCTGAGGAAGGGACAGTGGCCTTCAGATGCCGCCAGGCTCCTGCAGACACTGCCCACCATGGGCAGCCTGGGGTAGAACATGCTCGACCCTGCGACACTGGAGGTGCCCTCCCTGTGTGGGTTTGTGCCCCCGAGCGGGGCTGGGCTGTAGGAAGGCTGCAAGTGGCCATGCCACCCCCACACTGCGGGCACAGAGAGCCATCGAGCTTGTGGGTCTCTTCCTGTCGGAAAAGGAAATAAATAAGTCACGCTGCCGGCTCCCTGGGCTAAAGGCCAGTGTCCCAGCAGGCTAAGTGTCGTTGCCCATCTCAGCGGACACAGCGGCTGTGGAGTGGAGCTGGAGGGCCAGCAGGCACTGTCTGAACCCCGTCCCTACCCCCCTGTCCCTCCTGTGCTGCAGGGAGAAGTGGTGCCACATGACCCAGGAGGAGCGGGACGACAGCCTGCGGTTCAACGAGAACATCACCTTCGGGCAGCTGGGGTAAGGAGGAGGCCCCGCCGGGTCACACACGGACAGGGACAGGTCAGCAAGCGGCGTCCCCTGCTCTGCTCCCCCACCCCTCCTCCATCCCTGATCAGCCCACCCCACAGCCCACACCCCGAAGCTGAGCTGCAGAGTCCCTGTGGAGGTGGCCTGGCCATGGGTCCCCTTCCTGGGGCGCAGGAGCCGTGACAGCATGGTGTTTCCCGCAGCACCTTCACCCACAACATGCTGGCCTTCGGGCTGAGCAAGAAGCTGTGCGGCGACTTCCTAAAGAAGCAGGCTGTGATCGGCAACCTGGACCAGGGTGAGCTGCGGGGTGAGGGCAGGGGCCGGGGCCTGGGCTTCTGCCCACCACGGGAGCTTCTAAGGTGGCCAGACAGAGTTGACCGTCTAGCCATCTCGCTTCCCGATCCCAAGTCCGTGGAAGCCGAGCTCGCTCACCACAGGCTGTCCCCACCAGGAGGGTGGCGGCCAGGAGCCCGGCGTGCTGACCCTGTGACAGCCAGGGTGGCGGGTGCGCACGTACTCGCACTCACAGTCCAGTCCCGTGCAGAGCCGGACCCCAGGCACAAGTCGGTCCCTTCTGAGTGGTCATAAGACAAACCACACCACATTGACGGGTGCAGAAGGAGAGGAGGCCCGTGGTTCACAGGGCCCCGGGTCTGGGTCAGCAGGGGCTGCTGAGCCGTCCTTTCCCTGCCACCGTCTGCCACCAGCCTGCCTTCCTCCCAGTCCCCACGACCTTGCACAGGGATGTCTATTTGGATGGCCCAGCGTCCCTGAAAGGGACATCTCCCCATCCCGCACCCGAGCGGGGCCCTGGGGAAGCGGCTCAGGAGCACGGCTGCCAGCCTGGCTCCCCAGCAAGGGCAAGGACGTGCCATTGCCTCCTCGGTCCCGTGGCCGAGTGCGGTCCCCAGGACTGAGCCTGACTGCCATGCCACACCATGCCTTCCCTGGGCTCCTGGGGCAGGTCCTTGTGCCACAGCGCCGCCCTGGGAGGAGGCAAAGCCAGAGGGCCACAATGGCCGTGCAACTCAGACACCACAGCCCTGTCCCGATAAGGACCTGGCTCAGGACCCCTGGGGACGAGAGCAGGGTGATCTTGTCCTGGTCACCGTCTTTCCTCTGAGAATAATGCTGCTCTCCCTTTCAGAGCAGTACAAGCTGCTTAGCGACCACATTGAGCAGATGGCTGCTGAATAGAAGACCAAGCGGATGCGGTTCTCCTGGGCCGGCAGCTGGCCACGCCCCTCCAATGACCCTGCATGTCACCAGCAGCGCCGGAGTTGCCTTGCTGCCCAGAACTAGCGATTAGAAGACCCGTCCTCCTCTCGCCGTCTGCCCATGTCCCACCCCCGACCACGTGCCAAAGCGTCTCCAGGGACTGCTGCCCGCAAGTACCAGGCTTGTGAGATGAGCCCAGGGAAGGAGGACAGCGGCCACGCCGGGGTGGAACAGGGCCGCGTCCCGCATGGCACCGCTGAGGGCAGAGCAGGCGTGGGCACAGAAGTCAGAGGCAGCTGAGCGACTGGCGGTCAGTGCAGAGCAGACCCTTGCAGACACTGAGAGGGGCTCCAGGGTTGGTCACAGCTGCTTGCTCTGCCCGCCTCCCCCGTGTGACAGGAGCTGGGAGTCACGGGAGCCCGAGGAGCACAGACACCTCCTATTTTAGGGAGAGAAAGAGCCACAGGGGAGGGGACATTTTGCTGTGTGAGACCTGCCACCCTCGCGGGGGTGTGAGTGCCCTGTGACATCGCAGCAGCCAGGCTGTCTGCAGGTACCTGAGATGCACAGAAGGTCCGCCACTCGGGTGCACTCTCAGGGCACCTGCGCCCCGCAGCCCACGTTTCCTATCTTCCCCTCGGACCCTCATCCCGACTGCAGGCCCGGGAACCTGGCCGCTCCTGTGCGCGTGTGCCAGGCCAGCCTGTGGGGACGCAGGCCGACGTCACATGGGACCGAGTTCTCCACCTCCAGCCACGGTGGCTTCTGGTCACTGACCTTGGGATGGGCCACAGCCATGCTTCCTGCTCTGCCCTCTGGCTGTGACACACAGCCAACTGTCACCCGCCAAGCCGAGCCGGGCAGGCTCCCTCTCAGCAGCACCTCCTGCATGGTCCCCGAGCCGGGTGTGGACGGCCGAGCCCTGAAGCGTGTGTCCTGGGCACTGGGCCACGGATGGCAGCACTGGTGGGGGAAGGTGGCTGATGACCTGGTGCATGTGTGTCACTTCAGTGCCATCAGCCAGGACGTGTGGCTAGTGTGCCGGGTACTGGGGCCCCCTGTGCCACCTGGGCACCCTGCCCTCAGCATCAGGCCCCTGTGATGGCACTGGTCTCTGCTGGATCTTGTTTAGGGAAGTCAAGGCTACAGGCCCAGCATCACCTTCTGGACATCTGGTGCCAGAGTGCGGGGTTGCCAGGCCCCACGGGGCAGGCATAGAGACCAGTCGCATTCAGTGTGTTGGCATTAGTGGAAGTGCATACAGACTGCCTGGTGCCCCAGGGTGTGCCCTTGCGTAGAAGATTCCTCCTCGGCGGTTCTCCTGCAGTCAGCTTTCTGGGGAAACATCACTGCAGACCCCAGGCTCCGAGGGTTTCCTGTGCTGGCTGCTCCGGCAGCTCTGTGACGGGGAGGAAGGGCCGCTGTCCATCTTCCCTCCGCACGCCCTGCTCTCGCAGAGTCCCGAGGTGCCAGATTTGGCCCCCAGCTGCACCCTTGGTGTGTGCATGACACAGGCCCGGCCACGCACACAGAACCAGGCGGGCTCTGCCATCTCAGGTGACCTGTGCAGTGCCGTGTGGCAACCTGGGTTTTCCTGTTGCCAAGAGAAGTGGCTGCAGAGGGGGAAGAACGAGGGGGCACAGAGGGAGGGTTAGTGCCGAGCAGTAGCACGCTTCGCGCGGCAGGCGCTCAGGCTCGTCCCGGACACAGAGCCCAGGCTGGGTGCAGAGTGGAGGCCGGGCCGGCGCCCACTTCCACAGCCTGTGAGGAGCCCGGGCTGTCACGCCTGGGAGCTTCAGCTGTGAGGCCAGCGCTCCTGTGGGGTTTCGGTGGAACCGGTCACCTAGCGGGAGGCTGGGGCTGAAGCCTGGTGCACACCGTGGTCGGATCAGCTTGGCTAAGGGGCTTCCTACAAGGTCGGGCAGTGGGCTGTTTGCTGAGCAGTGTGGGGCTTAAAGGACATCAAAACTGAGAGCACCTTTGTGGGAGGGAGAAGCAAAGCACAGGGAGAGGACAGGGGCCCCTCGAGTGGCCAGCAGGGTCTGCTCTGGGTTCCCCACCCCACCACCAGATGGGGGCGGTGGCGTCTCCGTGACCCCCGTCTGCCCACCGAGCTGTCCCCCTACTCCTGCAGCCCGCTCGCCTCGCTCACCTTGTGGGAAGCTCTCAGCTGCCGTCCGGGAGGGGGAGCCGCGCAGCTGGCCGCGCCCCTGGCAGGTTTCATGTGAAGAGCAATGCGAGACGCGTGCCCAGGCGCCGGGGACAGCGCGGTCCCTGTGCCGTGCAGCCTCCCTTCCTGCAGCCCTCACTGCTGCGGCTGGGCCAGGCTAGGGGCGGAGGGGTCACGTCCACACTGCCCAGACGCTGCCCTCTGACCACGCCCCACCCCCGTGTCTGCGGACCTGCGGATCACCTGTTCCAGGGAGGAGCGTGGAGTCTCAGGACCTCCGTGGGCCCAGGCCACCTGCAGGGGCTGCCTCGGGGGCAGGAGAGCTGCCTGGCCCTGGGTAGTGGGATGAGGGCAGAGGGGGCCTGGCAGTGCCCCTGGGACCGGGTGTCGGTGAGCAGCTCCCCAGGGGGGCTTGGTCATGTTTGGTGGCATCAGACCTGCTGGGCCATTTGATCCGGAGCCCCAGGCTCCCACCTAGCAAAGCCCCCCTCTCACTCCTGGGGTGCTGTCAAGTTCTGCGCTGTAACCAGAAGGTGCCCTGTCCTGGCCCCTCCTTGCTCTGATTGGCACAGCCCCTCTGCCCTGGGCCGGAAGGACGGACGGGGACAGTGCGGGGCAGAGGCTGACTCGAGGGCAGTGCGTTCAGGTCTAGCTTCCGGGAGGAATCCAGGTGGAGCCCGGGACTGTCACTTCCAGGGGCCTGGAGGACCACGAGGGGACAAGCCAGGGACCCGGCCACTGGGAAACCCAGCACCTCGGACAACATGCCTGTGCCCTCTGCATGTGTGCCTCACGTGCGCTCTGTCCTGCCGCCCATGTGGTCCTGGGCCCGCCCTTGCCGCCGTCTTCCCATCCTGTGTGGTTGCGTGTGGTACCGGTATCTCGTTCGTTGCTGTTATGCGATCCCGTGTCCCCAGGGTGATATTCTAAAATGGTATTTTAGGGTTGAGAAAGTTCCCAGGGTGGAGTTGGCAAAGCAGTGCTAAAATCAGAGCTGCTTCGTGTGAAGAACAGTGTGGACGCATTGTACCTTCTGACCAGGAAGTGGAAACTGAAATAAATTATCTTTTAGAAGAAAACTCTTATTCTTTATCTCGACATGGCTCAGAATCCGCAGCAGCTCCTCAGAAGGAAGCAGGGCCGCCTGTCTGCGCCACCTGGGTCGGACCCTAGGCCACCAGGGTGCCTCAGACCCCTAAGCCGCAGGGGAAGCCTCGCGCTGCTGCCCCTCTGAACCAAAGCCGCTGATCTCTCAAATTTGAGGGTGGTTGGGGGACCCCGACCACAGATGCCACCTCTCGGGCAGGACACTTTTGTCCAGCTTGGCATGACAGGCGACTTCCAGTCTGCCTCCTTCCCTCGGAGCACAGCAGGTCAGAAGCCGCTTCCAGGGTCAAGCGGCAGGAAGGGTGGGGAGAAGCCGACCCCAGAGGGCTCTGGAGCGCAGCTGCGACGGGCCCTCCCTGGGCAAAGTCCCTGTCCCTGGGGCACAGGCGTGGGGGCAGCTGTCTGTGTCCCTGGTACTCCCCCTGCCCACACTTAGCCAGGTGTGGTGGGGCACCCGCCCTGGGGTGTGGCATCCGGACTCTCCTTGGTGCCAGGAAGTGGGGCACCCTGCCACGTCCTAGCAGTCAACTGCTGGGCTCAGAGCAAACTCTGGAGCTGTGGACACCTCGACAGGGCCGCAGGGACTCTAAAGAGCTCACCAGGACCCACAAAGGCCCAGGGCATCCCGTCTCCCCTCCAGCCCCCCCCTGTGTGCCTCCAGCCACATGGCCTGGCCCCAGAGCCTCCACCTCTGCATCTGTCTGCTGAGGACGCTGTGTCCTCAGCGCCCCGTGAGACCCTGCGGTCCAGGTCCTGCCCCTGAATGCACAACGAAGCGGTACGTTTCCTACTAAACAAAGCAGAAGGACCTCTTGGGCTGTGTGTTCTAGGGACACAAAATGCATCCCTCCAGATTCACAAAACTAAACAGAAGAGGAACTAAACCAGTTTCTAGGCGGAGTTTCTCCATAAACTGACCTTTCTGCTGCCCAAGTCCCTGGGGCGGATGTTGCGCACCTTCCAGCAGGGGCTCCACCTCTACCCGGCGCCACCAGTGCCCCTGGCCCTGCGCACAGCACCCTCTTTGCTCCTGGCTCCATGGCGGTCATGGGGCTCTGCTGCCTCCCAGAGGGAGAGTTCAGCACGGACTGCTCAGGGGGGGCAGCCAAGGGTCTGTCCTCTGTCGGTGATCGGGACAACAAGCAGGGGACTCGAGGGAGGAGGCGTCCCCCGCCAGGTGCCCACGCTCCGAGAGTGTAAATTTCATTGGTCCTCCAGTGTTCCCTGAGGATGAGGTGTGTCCTCCATGTTGCTAGTGGGGAAACCCTGGCACCGGTGGGGGAGCCAGATCCAAGGCCCTCGGGCTCCAGAGGCCAGCAGAGAGCCCACAGCGGACGCGTCCTTGGCGAGTCTGCGGACCACAGGGCAGGGCGCGGGGGCTGGGGCACTCCGAGCACGAATGCCCCATCTGAAGCCCTGGGAGCCCCCAGTGTTCTATAGCCGGAGCGCGGGCCTCAGGCGGGGTGCAAATAGCCTTGGACTCCGGGCTAGAGGTTCCTTTCCCAGGACCCCAGAGTCACAAGGAAAACTCAGCACTTTCTGCTGTGAGCTGCTGGCACCTGCCAGGGGATGTGGCTCCTGGGTGGCGCTGGGGACACGCGGAGTGCCCCCATGGCTCTGGCTCAGTCACACTTTGCAACCCACTGACCCCAAGGTGTGCGGCCACACGCGAGCAGGAGCGGGCACTCTCCCTGGGCCTGACACGCTCAGGGGGCTCCGGCTCACGGGTCCTGGCACCCGCACCCGGGGAGGACAGTCACGGACTTGCTTCCTGTGTGTGCCTGGAGGTCCAGGCACCAGCCCTCCCATTCCTGCCCCCCACAGACTTGTGTGACCTGCCTGGGTCTCAGGCCGCCTCACTCCTGGAGTGTGTGTCGTGGGCTGAGTTGTGTCCCCCATATCCCTCCACTGAAGTCCCGGCCCCAGCAGTGCACAGTCTAGGAACGGGGTCCTAGCACATGGGATGGGTGAGGATGAGGCCACCTTCATGCTGCATGTGGCGTTCTCGGTGGAAGGGACACATGGCCGCAGCCTCAAGAGCGCACGAGGAGATGGCACGGGACGAGACGGCAGACACCAGGTAGACACAGACGCCGCCTGGCGCCCAGCTTCGAGAGCACCAGATCCATGACCCTGGCCTCCAGCGCGGGAAGCCCCACGTAAGCCCTGGCTCGAGGCCCTCGGTCATGGCAGCCCCGGGAAGCCAAGCTGCCACCCTGTCACCAGAACACAGGAGAAGCCACGTGGTCCGATAGGAGGGAGCGAGCCGAGCAGGACTTCGAGAGTCACGCGGTGTTTATTGCACAGCGACCGGCACACTGCACCCTGCTCCCACAGTGCACATGGGGAAACTGAGGCTCTGGGAATCCGTGCCACCCGAGGCGTGACACAGCCCCGAGAGCAGGGTGGGCCCAGCACCTCCACCTGTGGCCAGAGTCACCTCCTAGTGCCGGCGTCCCTGCTCCTGTCCCTGGAGCTCCTCCAGCGCCGTCTCCTCTGCTGAGTCATCCCCACCGGCCTCCTCCTCTCTCTGGCCCCCTAGGGTGCACTGTGCACTCTGGGTAATAATAATATCGATAAGAACAATAATTGCACCACGGCCGCAGCACCGCAGTGGCAGGCCCCGCCTCCGCCATGCAGGGGGGCGGGTTCCTGCAACTCTGCACACAGCCCATCACCCCTGCCCCGCGTGGGCTCCCCGTGCCCTCTGCCACCTAGTGGGTGGGGTCCAAGCGGCCCAGAGAGGCTGAGACACTATCTCAAGAGCGCACAGCCAGGGGCACAGGTGTGGACCCAGCCAGCCTGGCCTGGGCGCTCTGCTCCCCCATGGCCTGCAGAGGACATCTGGGAGGTCCTGACACCCATGAACAAGGCCTCCCTGGCCTCGTGCCCCTCATCTGCGTGCCCTGAGCTGCCCCTGGAGCATGCCCGTGCCTGGCACCAGGCCTCACTGGGGCCCCGATGCTGTGTGTTGTGCACCCACCTTGCTACGCTGCCAACATCTGAGGACGCCTGGCCGTGGAGGGCCTGCGGGTGGGATGGGCACGGGCCTGGCCAGGCCAGAGACTCTCGGCTCGCCCGAGAGCCCCCACAGCCCACACTCACCTGGCTGGCAGGTGGCCCCAGGGTGGCATCTGTGAGCGGCCGAGCCTCGAAATGCCCAGGAACTCCCCACATCTTGGCTTGAAAGTCCTGCCCAGGAGAGACTGGGTGAGCTGGATTCAATGGGGACACACAGGACATGGGGTGGGAGGGAAGGACGGGAACACGAAGGCCCACAGATAGTGACACGCTGGAGCCCACAGCCCCGCCCTGCGCCTCCTGCTGGTCACACCATGGAATCCACAGCACCTTCAGGAGTGGGCAAGATCATCCCATCTTACAGACAGGAACCCAGGCCCGGAGAGGCTAGGCAGCACCCGTAGTCTATGCTCACAGGAAGTTGCTGGCTTCCTCCAGGGCAGGCAGCCTTAAGTGATACTGTAGAAGGCTGGGGTGCAGCTCAGGGGGCGAGCCCTTGCCTGGCACATGTGAGACCCTGGGCCCCATTCCAAGCACCGCAAACAAATAGATAAATACTGTCTTAGCGAGGAGTGCATGCCTGGAACCAGGGCGTCCTCTAAGCTGTGCAATAGTTCTAAAGCTTAGGGGTGAATTGCGACACAGGGAGGAGCCGTGAGCCCCAGAGCCACCCAACTCCAGGTGACTCCTGCGTGCCCATCACAGCACCAGCCTGGGGCAGCGTGTCCCCCCGGCTCACGTCCCAGTCTCAGCCCTCAGAGGGGACCGCAGACACGGGCCACACCAAAGCACACTGGGCAGCGGCAGGAAGTGCTTCCCACCGTCGCTGTTCCCAAGGTCCCCACGGCCCAACAAAGGGAGCAACAGCACAGGGCAAGACCCCCCCCCACATCGGAACAGACCTTCAGGGTGAGTGAGGGGCAGGAAGTCACTCAGACAGAACAGCCCCAAGGCACTTGGGGCCGGCCCACCTGCAGGTCCCGCTCCGGGTCATAGCTGCCCAGGGTCCGGCAGGCACTGGAGTATACTTCCACCGCCTTGGCGTGGAACACCATCTCGATGGTCACAAAGTCCAGGAAGACCCTCTGGGGTGGGGGAGACAAGTCACCCAGAGGTGGCTGTCCCTGGGGGGACAGGTCCTGGGTGGGGACTTTTTCTTTTTGTGGTACTTGGGGTGGAACCCAGGGCCTTCATAATGAGCTCCATCCCCGGCCCCTTTTTCAGTTTTTTATTTTGAAACAGGGTCTCACTAAATCACTAAGCTGCCTAGGCTGGATTTGAGTTTGAGATCCTCCTGCCTCAGCCTCCCAGAGTGCTGGGATGACAGCCATGCGCCATCCCACCCAGTCCTAGATGAGGGATTTTAGTTTTGGTTCATTTGTCCTTGAACCCTGTGATGCACAATATGTTTCTGAGCCCAAACTGGCCAAGCATCCGTGGAGGTCACCCGCGACCACCCAGCCTCCTCCGTGCGCCCTCTACCTGCTGTAGACGAAGCTTCCTCCCGGAGGCCTGTGTGCTCCGGGCCCTCACCACGCGCTCCTCTTCCACACGCCTCCCTCCCAAGCTCCAGTCAGAGCTCGGCAGCACTACTGCATGCTCGCTGTCACACACTGTCACCGCACACCTGTACCACCCTTACCCCTACACACTCCTGCACACTTACCGCACATCCTTCCCTCGCATGCCCATCCCACACGTGCCACACACACTGTGCATGCCCGGCACCAGCGGCCCCTACCTGGAGGTCCTTGAGCTTCCGCCGCTGGAAGGCGTCCACCGTGTCCTCCAGCTGCCGGGTGGTGCGGCTGGCGTCCACCGAGGCCCTCTGTACCCTGTTTTCTGCCTGGCCCAGGGACGCAGCGAGAACAAAGTGTCACGGGTGGGTCCAGCCCAAGGATACCGCGTGGGACTCTCCCCAGACCTCACTTGGCCTCCTCTGGCCAGCTCTCCAGCCCCGGGGTGTCCCGTGCCTATACGGTGGTTGGCGGGCTGGCTGAGGAGGACTGTGGCCAAAGGGTCGGTCGGTGGAGTTGCAAAGACCTGCTCATGAGCTGTGCAATCTCAGGTGGCCACATAACCTCTCTGAGCCTCAGCTCCTCGCCTAGAGGCAGGAGCCGGCACTAAGACCTGCTCACTGCGTTGCTTACGGGTCCCACAGTGGCCCCGCTCGGCCGTTAGCAACGGGCTCCACAGGGACTGGCGACGCGTCCCTGCTCATGGGACACCATGGGCCTCTCGCCCCTCTGTCCCTTCCATCAGCGTCCGCAACGCCTGCTCTGTGCTGAGCCCTCTTTGGAACGGAGCTCTGGGCTGGCCACGTACGGGCCCGCGTGACCTTGAGCCTCAGTGTCCCCTTCTCTAGAATGGAGCTCTTAGTACCAACCCGATCAGGACCCTGTGCCCCAGAGGACACTGGCAACAGATGCCACGCGGTCAGGGGTGTGACGGTCCCCCAGATGTCCACTTCTCGAGCCTGCATGCATTGATGTCACCTCACTGGGGGAGACAGGGTGCTGACCCCAGCCGACCATGACAGGGCTGTCCTGGGTCCCTTAATCCCAGGAACCCCGGGTCTTCAGGGGCAGCAGTGGAGGCTGGGTCTGTGGGGAGGCGGCACTGGGGGGATGCAGGATGCTGGGGACGGGAAGGGCCCCCCGCCGAGGGACACACGAGGGCGGGCAGGCGGTGTGCATCGAGGAGGGCAGTGGGGTTTCCCTTCACCTCTGGGAGGGTGCATCCCTGCCACCCTGGACATGGCCCAAGGGACTCTGCCGACCGCTGACCCCTGACCTCTGGGGACGCTCTGTGCGGCATGAGCTGCCAGTCTGCAGCCATCTGAAGCCGCAGCACAAGAACAAACTCCTGCAGCGGTGTCTTCCAGTCACGACCGTCCAAAGTGTCCCCACACTGTGCCCAGGGGCCCGGGGGTCAGAGTGGCCCCCGATGGGGACATGACGGAGGTCCAGGACAGAGCATGTTTTGGGCAGTGGAGGTCACTGGGTTCTGAAAGGACAGAGGCAACGCACCAGTCACCGGGCAGAACAGCTCAGGGAAGAGAGCTGTGGCCTCTCCCCGCTGGGCCCCGGTCCAGGCCTCTCTGGTGTGGACAAAGTGCCCACCTTGGTGACCGTGAGGCCGGCAGCCCTTCGAGGAAACTGAGGCCCGAGGTGGAGGGCGGCTCGCAGGATGCAGGGGTCCCTGGCCCCGTGACCACCCCTCCCCCACACACGTAGCGCTCAGTCCTCACCTGCCTGCCCCGAGGAAGGCGCCGCACTCACCTGTGACTGGGAGGTGGGTTAAGGATTCGGGAGCCCCGGCGGCCCCAGCAGGCAGGGGCACCCAGGACCCGGCCGCCACCCCGCGAGCTGCGCACGCGCGATGCGGTTCCCAGAGAAGGATACGATCACTTGCCGATCTGAGGGCGACTTCTGCCTCAGTTTCTCCAGCCTTTCCAGTTGTTTGATCTCATTGCTTTGGACCCGCTTGAATTTCTTGATCTCAGCCTGAAGAGAGAAAAGCAGAGACCCATTTCCCAGGGTTCCCCGGCCGCCCCGCGGCCCCTGCCCCAGGCGCCCTGCTTACCCGGGTCTGCTTTATCTGGGTGCCGTATAGCTTCAGGGGTTCCACAACCTTGGCCTCCAGCCTCTCGACCTTGGGGCAGGAGGGACAGCGCAGAGGCTCAGAGCGAGGCAGAGGCCGCCCCTCCCGGGGAAGGACGGTAGCCTCCCTGTGCCCTGGGGTGGTGGGCTGGACAGGCCCGGATCCCGCCCCACAGGGGCTCCAGCAACCTTGAGTCTCCGGCCTCACACCCTTGCGGGAGAGGTGAGATCCTAAGAGCGGGAAGGAGGAGGCTCTCCTGTCGCCCAGCACTCTGGAGACCAAGGCAGGAGGATCGGAAGTTCAAGCCCAACCTGGGCAACTTAGAACCTAAGGGGGCTGGGGTGTAGCTCAGTGGTGAGCCCTTGCCTGGCACGTGGAGGCCCTGGGTTCCACCCCAGACAAAGCGGGGCAATGAGCCCACGCCAGGCCCCGTGGCAGGGCGGGGGAGGTCACTGGCCACCCTAGAAGACAGTGCCTGGCAGGGAACCGTGGCCACCAGGGCCTGAGCCTGCCCCTTCTTCCATGCCTTGGCGGGTGGTGCTGGGGGGCTCCCCCTGGTCTGCATGCCAGGCTCCCCACGCTGCCTCAGGGTCCTGGCACTGACAGGACGGTGCCCACGGTGGGGGACCGGCCTCCCGCAAGCTGCCATGAGGCACAGTGTAGGCCTAGCAAGGGGAGCAGCAGGAAGTAGGGTGTGCTAGGGCCCCCCCGTCTGCCGGGGCTTGAAACCCCACTTTCCTTCCAGCTGGTGGCTGGGGGGGGGGCAGCTGGGCTGTACCAAGCAGAGCAGACCTGGGGCAGCAGGGGGCGCTGCATGGTGTCACCGCGGTGGGCCAGGCCTCTCCCAGGGCACCACCCCAGTGTGTGATTCAGGAGGGCCGGGCAGCTTGGGGCTCTGCACTGTCACATGTCCCCGTGTCTGGGGTGGCAGCATTGTTCCCGGTGCCCCTGGACGGACTACTGACACCCATTGGGCTGGCCAGGAGGGAGCCAGGGTCCCCACCCAGGCTGTTGGCTCTGCGGGCTGCTGACCCTTGGCCAGGTAGGGAGGAAAATCCTTCCCCGAGCGCCAGAGGGAGGGCAGACTTGTCGCTTGCCCTGTAAGCCCTTGCTCTGTCCCCAGAATGGCGCTAACCTGGGAGCCACCTCCTGCCTCACGACCACGGGTGACCACAGAGGGAGCTGCCCAGCCGGGCCCTGCTGCAGGAGCTGCCCTCCTGCACTAATGTGGCACAGACATGGCAAGGGCGCCTGGTTATCAGGCGAGGCTGGGACTCGCTCTGCCGCAACAGCAGCCCCCCCATCCCTCCGTCCCTCCTTCCCTCCTTCCCTCCTTCCCTTCCCCTTCTCCCTCCCTCCGTCCCTTCCTCTTCTCCCTCCCTCTGTCCCTTCCTCTCTTTTGTTAGGATGGACACAAGGACACTCACCCCTGCGCTGCACCCCAGCCTTTACTTCTCTGCTTTGAACTGAGGTCTCACTATGTTTCCCAGGCTGGCCTCAAGCTTTTGATCCTCCTGCCTCAGCCTCCCAGAGTGCTGGGGTTCCAGACATGTGCTACCACGCCCGGCAGCAAGGCCTCTTTTGTGGGAGCAGTCAGCGTCTGTCCTGAGGACACGTCTAGGCAGTCTGGGTCTGCCTGGTGGGAGGAACCTGGGGCTTTCCGCTGTCCTTCTCACCTCTGCCACGTGGCCTGTGACGCGCCTGCCTCCTGCCCCTCCCTCTCTTGGTGGCTTCGCGTGGCCCCGTATTTCCCTGACACCTCTCGCTGGCTTCCTCAGGGTTTTGTCCCTCCCCGGGTCCTCTGTGTCCTGGGGTTTGCAGAGCCCCCAGGTCTGACTTTGGGCCCCCGCCCTCATCTGCCTCGGCGAAGCCCCAGCTCTCTGTCCTGTGCACGGGGTGCCGGGAAGCGGGCATGGGTGTCCACCCCAGGCTGCCTGGCAGAGGCGCACTGGCTGGGCCGCGGCTGCCCGCTCACCTGGGCCTGCCGGTAGTCCTGCACTTTGGCCAGGTCCTCGGCGACGTCCTGCAGGGTGGCCCGCAGCTCAGGGGTCTCAGAGCTGGCGAGGGCGATGAGCTGCTTGACCAGCCGGTCCCCCGCGTCCCGCAGCCGGGCCGTCTTGCGCGTGTGGGCGGCCAGCAGCGAGCAGAGCTGCCCGAAGTGCTTCTCGGCGCTGACCACCGTGGTCTCCATCGCCCTCACCTGGCCGTCCCTGCGGAGGTGGGGGGAGTGGCGGGGACACCCCAGGGGCGTGGAGGACGCCCGGTGACCGCCTGACCGCCTGGGCTGCTTGGCGGCAGAGGAGGCTGCGCTGGAGCCCAGCCTCGCGGGTGCCACAGTCTGCACACGGCCTCTCCTCTGCTGCCGTCCCGCGCGCCCGGGCACCTCCCCCACACCGGGAAACTCCCTCCTGTGAACCCCGAAGCTTTTCTGAAACCCTAAGGAACTTCCAGGGGAGCTAGCTTTCGGGGGACCTGGGAGTGGGGAGCAGAGGTGCCCGTTTCCCCTCGCCAGGCCCCTAGATGACCGGTACCCCGCGCCTGGGGACCTGAGTCTGTGAGCACAGAGGTCACCCGGGTGTCCCACGCGCTGGTCTCTGTGTACTGTGTCCGGCGCCAGGCTTGCAGGCACAGTCACTGCCCTCACGTCCCGGGGGCCCCGCCGTTTCCCTCCCCTGCCAACCCCGGGGCTTTGCGTCCGTCACCTCCTGTCAGTCTGGTCCTTTGCCTCCCCTGACACTTGCGTGGGGCTGCCGCGTCCCCGCCACAGGAGGAGTCCGCAAGCACTATGCAGGACCCGGTCTCCCTCCTGGGCCTCCCAGAGGCCTCCTGCCCTTCCTGGGGCCCCCATGTCCCTGGGCCACAGCTGATCCCGTCCAGATAGCTGGCTCCTTCCCCTCCAAGTCGTGGAGCAGGGGCCGCCGAGGCCCAGGCCAAGGAGCACCGCTGCGTCTGGGCCGGGAGGACCTGGCACCAGAGCCAGTGCCCCTGGTGGGGCTGGGCAGCAGGCGGGCACGGCCCACAGAGGGGCAAGGCTGGCGGGTTGGGGGTGAGGGGCTTTTCCAGAGGAGCCAGCAAGGGCCAGAAGAAGGACCTGGCACATGTGGCGCCCCCAGTTTGCAGGCCATAGGCCAGGAGGCCTGGTGGTCAGAGCCCCGTGTCCCCTGCTGTCCGCTCCTCCCTTCCTACCCGGGACATTGGCCGACTCTGCCTCCCTCCACCCTCTCGGCCTGCGCCACCGCTCACCTGGAGAGGACGACGTTCATTGTGGCCTCGGCCCGGCTGTCCTGGTCGTGGGGAATAAGGACCAGACCCCAGGGAGCCGGGCAGGGCTGGGCACAGCTGTGTACTCTGGGCTCAAGGGACGCTGCCCCAGGGTTGCCAGGCAACAAGGCAGCGCAGTTGGCCTGGGAGGAGCTGATCTGGTCACTGCAGCAACTCCTCCCGGGGGGGCCAGCCTGGCAGGAAGGGTCCCAGGGCAGAGGCGGGGCGCTGTGTGGGAGCAGACAGTCCCCGGGGCAGCAGGGCCTGGCCCCTGTGTCCCTTGCCAGGTTCCACCAGGCCCCTCTGCACTCGTGGGCCTGCGTGGGGGCTCCTCCCTTCCCGCCTGTCCCCCAAGTCCAGCTGGGGTGGGAAGCAGCGGGCGGGGACCTGGCTCTTGCAAGGGGTGGAGAGACCCAGAAGGCCCAGCTCAAAGCAGCGCCTCGGACAGGGCCCCGAGTGTCCCTGGCTTCCCTTGTGTCTGCTGTCGGTGCCCAGCTGTGGTCCCAGCGACCCTGGAGGCTGAGGCAGAAGTGCTTCCCCTAAAGACCAGCCCGGGCCATGTGGGGAGAATCATGTCCAAACGATGTAAGCGAGGAGGGCACACAGGAGGACCCCACGCACGCACGTGTGAGGTGGTGCGGCAGGAGCACACACCACGTGCACGGGGCCCCCGAGGCCCAGGCCTGCAAGGCCTGCGCTCTTCTCCTGAGGAGGAGAGGTACAGAAGCCACAGGGCGGCAGAGGGCAGGCAGCGATCAGCAAGGGGCGCGGCTGCTCCGACCGCCCTGTGAGGCCAGGTCCAGCTGTGCGGGCGGCTTTATTTCTTCCTTATCCTTTGCAGTACGGGGATGGAACGAGGGCTTTTGCACTGAGCTACAGCCGAGCCCCTTTTACTTTTTTATTGACAGACAGGGTCTCACCCGGTCCGTAAGTTGCCCGGAGTGCGCAAGGACAGCCCTGTGCCCGCTGCCAGGCCCTGGTGGGGTAGGGCAGCCACACACAGGTTCCAGTCCAGGCCCAGGTGCTGTGTGACCTCGGGCTGTCACCTGACCTCTCTGAGCACTCAGTGACCACCTGCCCTGACTGCTGGGGATGCAGCCCCTCACTGAGCGGCCACCCCGGGGGCCCGGTCTCCCAGCCGACCCTGCCGGGGCCTTTGCCTGGCCTTTGCCACTCCGCCTCCCTCCAGGGCCCTGATGCCCGCATGGCCACGTGCGTGGGGCCGCCGCCAGCCTGGCTGCCTCCTGTGATGCCTGGCAGTGTCGGGGACGGTGCCCCAGTGCAGTGCACCCCAGACCTGCGTGTGACCGTATTTGGAAATCAGGTCTCTGCAGCTGTCGCTGGCCAGGCTGAGTCATCGGGCGAGGAGCTCAACTCTGCAGCCCTCCGGCGGGGACAGCGGGGCAGTGGCCACCAGGGCCAGGGGAGGAAGGAGCCGCCCGGGGCCTCGGAGGCCCCAGAACCCAGGGAGAATTCACTTCTGTCCTGTTTTTGCTTTTGTGTTTCGCAGTTCTGGTCTTTCCCACTGAGTTACATCCCCAGCTCTGGTTTTGTTTTTTTTTGTTTGTTTGTTTTTAATATTTACCTTTTTATTTACAAACATAGCAATTTTGCTGGGCGTGGTGGCGCATGGCTTATAATCTCAGCACTCGGGAGTTTGAGGCAGGAGGATTTTTGCGAGTTGGAGACCAGCCTGGGCTACAAAGAGAGCTCAAGACCAGTCTGAACTGCCTATCAAGACCCTGTCTCAAAAAGACAAAAAAAGAAAAAAAAAAAGCAATTTTAATCAGTTCAGTGAAACTTGTACAGGAACAAACTCTCATGAAAGAGAATTAGGAAGAAACATTTTAAAAATGTTTCCTTTTCAACTGGCATTAAAATGGTATATTTTGTTCATTTTTTTTTCTTTTTTCTTTGGTACCAGGAATTAAACTGAGGACCTTGCATTTGCTAGACAGGCGCCTGTGCTGCTGAGCTATATCCCCAGCCCTTGAAATGGTATAGTTTGTAGTAGTAAAATTAAGAACTTTCTGCATATTATATTTTTATTTTTTATTTACTCATTTTTTGGGGGGGTCTTTTTCTTGAGACAGGGTCTGGCTTACAATTCAGGCTGGTCTTGAACTCACTTTGTAGTCCAAGCTGGCCTTGAACTCAAAATGATTCTCCTGCTTCAGCCTCCCGAGTGCTGGGATTATAGGCGGGTGTCACTACGCCCAGTTTATTTACTCTTTTTTTTTGGTCTTTTTGAGACAGGGTCTCGCTATTCAGTTCAGGCTGGCCTTGAACTCACTTTGTAGCCCAGGCTGGTCTGGAACTCGCAATGATCCTCCTGCCTCAGCCTCCCAAGTGCAGGGATTACAGGTGTGCACCACTACGCCCAGCTTTATTTACTCGTTTTTTAATTTTCATATTTTTTGTCCTTGTTTGCAGTTTATCATGCACACGTTCATCATGGGGAGCTTGGCGTGGACAGAATGTATCTAAATTCTTTGCACATCCCCAGCCCTGGTTAAAAGTGCTTTTTTGTTTTGCTTTGTTTTTGTTTTAATTCTGGGAGAGGGTCTCACTAAATGACTAAGTCACCCAGGATGGGCTCACCCTGAGATCCTCCTGCCTCAGTCTCCCAGAGTGCTGGGATTAGAGGTGTGCGCCACTATACCCTGAATTTCTGTCGTTTGAAGTCCCCACTGTAAGGTCATTTTGCGACAGCAGACACAGCACATTCATCTAGGGCCTGCGCCCCGTCCCTGCTTCCCAAGCCGGCACTGTCGCGTTCTCTCGGTGGCTGTGGGTGTCCGAGTACAAAGCGTCTCCTGCGGCCTGCTCCTGCCCGCGCCTGCTGGAGAGCCGGCTCTCGGGGACAGTGTGCGACAGAGCAGCCTGCGCTGCCGCCGAGGGCCGCGGGAGGGCGGCAGAGACCCCCAGACCCGCGCTGGGCCGCGAGGGCGCAGGGACGGCCACGCCCCCGGCTGGAGACCCGAAGCCGCCTCCCGCCACACGCTGGGGCCCCCTGGTGGCCAGAGCGGGGAGAGCAGCGACGCCCGGGCTGCGGCGCTGTCCTCCGCCTGTGTTTCAGGCCCACTGACCTCGGCTGCCCTGGGAGTGAGGCCAAGCCCCGCCCCGGCCCTGTGCGCGCTGCGGCTCTGCATGCCGCCTCTGAGTCCGCCGTTATCTGTGCACACAGCGGGTCCCCCTGGGTCTCCCGCAGCTCGAGACCACACCTGGTGGCTTCCGGGTGGCACCGGGAGTCCGCCTGAGAGGGCACAGGAAGCCCACGGACCTCTGCCCCGGAAAGCCTGCTCCCCTCGCAGGGAGGAACCGGCGGGAGAGCTGAACCTCAAAGACCTTAGATTTTTCACTACCGAGGATTGAACCAGGGCCCCTCGCTGAGCTACTCTCCCTGCTCTTTTTGTTCTGCTTTCTACCATCTTGAAACAGGATCTTGCCAAGCTGCCCAGGCTGACCTCCCACTTGTGACCTCCTGCCTCAGCCTCCTGAGTGCTGGGGTCACAGTGCTCCACCAGGACAGGTTAAAATTCATTTCTTACAAAGCTTTCTCCCCTACGAAGAGAAAATCTAGAGACGGAGGTGTAAAGGGCCAAGGGCAAGTCAGTCCAAGTCTCACTTCCAGAGACGCTCATTAGCAAGGCATGGGCACGGCCTCTCACAGCCTTCTTGGTAGACAATTTGCAAGGTTCCATGGTCTCCGCACATCGCAGGCAGTCCTGTGTTGTTTCCTATCAACTCTGCGTTAGCGTAATTCTTATTTTGCCTTCCTCCTCACTAAGAAAGTTTTCAAATCGTACAAAATGTGGAAAAACAAGAACGTGCCAGCCAGACCCATGCCCACGTCCAGCCCAATGCTTGTTGTGCCCACCGTGGTCACATACCCCATGTTCATGGCTGTATACTATTTCCTTCTGCTGCGTTTGTTTGGACACGGTCCACTTCTGGCGAATATTTACTAAGCACCTACTGTGTGCACAGCCATCTAGGAGGCACCGAGGCCACACCAGTGAACAAACAAGCAGCCAGACCACACTTGCCATGAGAGCACTCTGGGAGGGTCGGGACATGCCAGGAACCAGCGGTGGGGCAGGGACACTCCTAAGGGCCACATGAGCGCCTGGCACGGGGCTCCTGTGGGCGGGCTGGGCAGGACGACGTGGGACAGGCCGAGGAGAGTGCTGTGAAACCACCAGGAGGAGGAGGAGGACGGGCAGGCGCCCACCGTCCCAGCCTCTGCTCTGCTCTGCTGACCTTGGTGCAGGCCCCAGCCCCCCGGGGGGCCCACAGCCAACCGTCCCTGCTCCAGTACCCCCGCCGCCCTGTGAGCGGGAATCACGGCCTCGGCTCCCTCAGCCACGAAGCACGATGGCCACGGACCTCAGCGGTGCTGGAGGCCCCCCCCCCCTCCCCCGCACCCTGCATGTCCGTCACGGAGGGTGGGCAGAGGGATGGATGGACTGCTGGCTGCAGAGCCCGCGGCGGCCCTCGGGACAGGCCACTATCAGGGCGACGCGACGTTCAAGACGAGACCGTCGGGCACTTGCACACGCGCGTGACAGAAGACAGCCCTGAACGCACACTTCTCTCCGTGTGAGTTCCGGGCCTACAAGTGCCACCTCAGTGCACTCGAGAGGTGGGGGAGGCGGGGAAGGGAGGGACGATCCCTCCCTCAGCACTGCAGCGTCCAGGGCCGCGGGCTGAAAAAGCAAACTTAGAACCATTCTGCGCCGTTTCCGGGCCTGGAAGTTCTGGCCCTGAGGCGCCCCCTGGCGGACATGGGGTGCATGGGAGCCGGTCTCCTCATGTGCGGGCCTTTGTAGCCAACAGCTGTGTCCCCTTCTGCAGATTCCCGGCTGCTGCGGTCTGGGCCCTGTGCTGAGCGGCGCAGTGGTTGGAAGCACGGGGAGATCGGGAATAGCAGCGCGTTAGCCTCTCCTGAGGCCTCAGCCGCCCACGTCCTCCGCCCTCGAGGCCAGCCCTCTCTCGGTTCAACAGTACAGCCTTTTAAGGAAAGGGACACGAGGATGTGCACAGGTACGGTTAGCCAGGTTGTTCACTGTGTAAGCGCACTGAGTGGACCCTCACTTTACACAAAGCCCATGCTGAGCACTCTTCCCACGGCGAGCCTCGCTGAGACTTGGCCTCAGGTGGGAGTTGTTATCCTCGGCTGATGAAGGCAAGAGCCTCAGGGGTCCCCCAAACTCACACTCCTTCCCAGCCGCGTTGAGGGGCCCTGGCAGGAACCAGGGCTTCCTGCAGAGCAGGCCCAGACTGACCCGAGGAGATCGCCCCACACCCAGGAGCGCCGGTCCTGCCTGAGGCTGGGGCTTAGCTGCTGGGAACTCAGTGGTTAGGCCTCGGGGGGAGGGGCCTCAAATCCGACCTCACTGGCTCAGTCCTGGTGCCGGCTCCGCACCCCCTCTGGGCTCACTGTCCCCATTTGAGAAATGGGCAGGAACTATGTCATCCTGGAGCCGAGGCAGGGACAGAACTGTGCGGCATGGCGAAGTATCTCAGCACACACACCAGTCCACGTTCAGTTGCTGGGACAAGACACCTGACAGCACACTTGAAGGCGGGGAGGGTTAACTTGGCTCGTGGCTGCAGAGGGCTCAGTCCATGGTCTGCCGCGTCAAGGCAGGGCGATCGTGGCGGGAGGGCCTGGCAGGGGAGAGAGCCTCGGTTTGTGGCGGTCAGGAAGCACAGGGACGAGAAAAGCCGGAGAGGAAGAGGCAGGCACAGCCTGTGTCCCGCAAAGCCATGCCCAGTGCCCCCCTCACCCAGTGAACTCTGCCTCCCAGGAAGCAGGTCCGCTAACAAGCCCATGGCTGGATTGCTCCACGTGATGCAGTCAGAGCCCCAGAATCTAACCCAAACCCCAGCCAGGAACACACAAGCCTTGGGGGATCCCAGAATTCAAACTCTGACACCGCCTATGCTCAGAAGCGGGTAGAATCAGGTCAAATCGAGTGCTGGCTGCCCGAGAGTGAGGATGCGGGCTCGGCGCCCTCTCAGCTGTCCCGCACACAGCCGTCCTGGCGCACAGTGGGCCTGCAGGAAGACCTTCCGGACGAGCGGCTGCACAGGACTCCTGAGTGCCGTGCCCTGGAGGCCGCCAGCCCCTCCCGGAATGGGCTGGGCCTCAGCTGCCCCAGGTTGGGTCAGAGCCTCCCTGGGTGGTCGCGACTTGGGAACACGGCCCAGTGTGGGGGGCCCGGCCTCCGCTGTTCCTGCCGATCTGGCGCCAGGCCGTCCCCACCTGGCCCCGTCCATCTCGCCGCCCCTCCCTGCAGCTCACGCACACCGTCACAGGGCAGCACGTGGAGGCAAAGGAGGCGGCCTTGGGGGAGGGGGCGAGGGGACCGGCGTCGGGACCAGGATCGCCTTCCTGCCGCCGGAACCACGCCCCGGCCCCCTTCCCCACCACCAAGGCAAGTTTGATCCCACGGCACAGCGGCCATGCAGACTGCTGCACAAAACACGCGTGTAGGGCCGGGGTGCTGCCTCGGCACCGCAGGAAAACTATAGTAGGAGAAGACACACACACACACACTCTCACACTCACGCTCACGCTCATGCACACAGGTTAACAAACTCTAGGGCCAGCTCGGAGGATGTTGTGTGTGCATGGCTCCTTCCTCTTGAATACAGTAGGCGCCAAAGCAGTGCGTGTCTGCGTGAAGGTTTGTGGGGTGCAGGGCGCCCGCCCTCCTCCGGTGGTCTTGCTGTCACGGGACAGGGACTGTGCTCCGTGTCGTGTGAGAGTCGGGGCACACAGCGTCCTTACCCCGTCCAGTGGCCCCCAAAGGGAGTGGACTCCCCAAGGCAGAAGGCTCCACCGCCTCCTGGGCCCAGGAGGGACAAGGTCACTGCGCTCACGTCCCCGCCACGGGGTGGCATGCACGTGCTGCTGTGGCCGGGCGTGTAGCTCGGGCCGCACCACAGGCTGTTGCGCCCTGGGCCTCCCCGGCACACAGAGTAGGTGCTCAGGAGTTGCGCTGACCTGTCCTCGAGCACGCGGGGACAGCACAGGGGACCTGGTCCCACGAGGACCCCGCGGGCAGCCTCACTGCCGTGCGCCCCTGGGGCTATAAACTCCTGCGAAGGGAAGGAGAAACCACCCAGACTTGACGTCAGCGCAAACAGCCCTAATTGGTCCTGGAGCCTCATAATCCCCGGCGTCCGTCAGCCTGGGCGCGTGTGTCTAGGAACCTGGAGGCAAAGGTGGAAGGTGCAGGCATCGTCAGCCGACCTGAAGTGCGGGCCTTGTCCCCGCTGCACCGGCCCCCGCCCTGCCCAGGCGGGCGCTTATCGCCGCTGGGGAGAAGAGGCTGGGTGTTGACCTGCGCCCCGCCGGGGTGCTGCGGAGCTCCGGCAGAGGCCGTGCAGGGTCCCCGGCCGGGATCTCCTCCTCCTGCCCTTGGTCTCGGGACCGCAGCCTGTGCTTCCCTGCTCCTGTCAGGTGGGCTGCTGAGGTCTGCTGAGGCCTGGGTTGGGGGACGGAGAGGCTTGGGCTGGAGAGACCCTGCCAAGAGGGGAGGGCCTGTGGCCGCCAAGGCTAGAACATTCCGCCATGTGGAAGCCAAAAAACTCCCAAAGCAACACTCTGTAGCTTCCAGCTGGTGGAGGAAGAGGATTTCCTCTCTGGGCAGCTCCTGGGGATTTGGAGGGGGGCCTTCAGCGACGGCCTCGCTGGCAGCCAGGCGGCGGGGGGGGGGGGCAGGAAACGGGGTTCAGACGCCAGGCAGCACCAAATTTGGACAAGCTCAAGGGCGAGAGTCGGGCCAGGCTGGAGCAGGGCTCGGGAGTGACGGGCGCGACCCGGGAGAAGCACTGCTGCTTCAGATTGGGTAAACTGAGGCACCAGGGGCCAGTGCCACTCTGCAGAGCTGCAGGTCAGGGGACGGTAAGCAGGGCAAAGGCCTGCCCAGCACTTCCTGGGCATCACAGAGTCCCCGAGATGCCACTGTGCCCCAGCAGCACCGTGAGCCCCTCTGCTGCTCCTTCCAGGTAGGAAGTCCTGGGGACAGGTGGCGGGTCCCAGGAGAACGGGGGCAGCTGTGACAAGACGACCACACCCCCTGACTTTGAGCCGGCCGGTTCCTGCGCTGCCATCTGCCGGAGCTTGACACAACGGGCCTGGAGCTCAGTGCTCGGCACCCACCTGGCGTGCATGGGGCCCCAGGTGCCGTCCTCAGCCCTGCAAAGAAGAAGAAAAGAAATTAACACAACCACAAGCAGCGCGCAAACGGCTCTCGTCCGAGTCAGGGAGGCAGAGTGAAAACGCACACCTGGTAAAGGCTCGCAGAACGGGCGCAGCTTCTCCTTGTGCAGTGCACAACCTGAATAACTGGATATAAAACCCTGACGAGTAATTGGATTTGAATTTGGGGCTGCAGCTTTAGAGCCTGGGCACCAGCTACTTCATCCCTGGCCTAAAGTCCCTGACTCACCCCTACCCCAGTGACCAGGGGCACCAAGGGACAGAAAGGAAGGGGCCTTCCTTGGTCCTGGGACCCTCGAAGGGACACTGACACACACAGGGCTTGCCAGGCCCCAGGATGCAGGAGCTGAAAGAGGGAGAGGCAAGGAGGATCAGGTGCGTGCGTGCGTGCGTGTCACACGTCACACGCGTGCCCTCTGTGTCGGGCAGGGCTGGCCCTCGGGTGGTGACAGCCCTGTGGCGTGGGGCAGGTGGGCTCCGCTCTGGCCCCACTCGTGGGGGTGCCATGGCCGCTTCTTGTCGGAGGAGGTGGGCAGCCCCGAGGGGCCACAGTACGTATTGAGCACCGACTGTATCCTAGGTGTTGGGGGTGGCAGGGGAGAGGGCAGTGGGGGCCCTGCTCTGGCCACCCCCGGACTCAGTGAGGGCCCCGGGGCTGTCAGGGCCTCTGCCTGGGTCCCTTCCTCTCCTTTCCGATGGGGAACACCGGGTGGAAGGGGGCGGGGCGGAGGAGCATCAGGAAGGGGCTGGGCGCCATCTAGGTGGGCCAGGGTCACCCGGTTCCTTCCCAGGGACACGTGTGAACCTCGGTTTCCAGTGGGTTCCCGACTCCTGCCCCGTGCGAGTCCCCACGGGAAGGAAGCCGCGGCCACTCCCTCCCCTCCCCATGCGGTTCGCGGCTCAGGGACTGCGGCCACCAGAGGGGCACAGCCCTGAACGCCGCTGTCCCATGGCGGCACAGGACACCTGCCCAGGGTCCCAAAGGACGTCCCGGGGTCCCGGGGCCCTGGCCTCCTGCCCACGGGCTGCCTGCCCAGGGCGGGACCCACCTGGCCACGCCTCCCCCTCAGCGTCTGCTCCGAGGGTTCCTGCCGCGCCTTTCCTCTGCCGCCCAGCGCTTCCCAGCCCCGCCCTGCTGGCCGGGGGCTGCAGTGCTGCCCACCCTTCCGGCTGCTCCTTCAGGCACGGGTTGGTAGCCTGGGTCCTTCACGCTTCCAGCTCAGCGGTCCTGACAGCCAGTGTCAGAGATCGGGAAGCGAGGCCCTGAGCGGCCAGGATCACACACCCGAGGCCACCGTGGGGACCAGGACAGAAGCTCAGCCCAGGAGGCCTTGCCTCCAGCCGGTGTCCAGCCACGGTGTAGCCCGCCTTGCTGGAGATGGCAAGCCTCCAGGCTTGGTGGGCTTCTGTCTCTCCTGCTCACACCACGTCCGGGCGCTCGGTGGAGCAGAGGACACCCCCACTGTGGCTGCTGGCTCCTGTCCAGCCTCAGAAAACGCCCTGACCAGCCAGAGATCAGAGGGGACTTTACCCAGTGGCGGGCCTTAGAGGGGAGGGGCGGTGATGGCCCTGATGTTTCTGCATGACAGGCCCTGGGCGGGCCACTGGCATGGGGGGCTGATGTCTCCTGGGAGCGCAGCCCTTTCGGGAGGGGTGGGGGAGGGGTGGGACCACAGCCTGCGGGGGACCGCTGTGCCGGGCAGGAACAGAGGGGTACTCGCAGGTGGCATGCCTGCTGCCCTCAGGCCTCGTGGTGGCAGACTAACAGCATGGACAACGCCCTGATCCGCGCCCTGATCTCCAACCCTCGGTTTCTCCTCTGCAAAGTGAGGAAAAGTTTCCACCCTCTGGGCCGCCCCAAGGGGATAAGCTGGGGGGACCCAAAGCCTTGGGCACGCACGCAGTTCAGCAAGGACGAGATGGGGCAGCTGAGGTCCATGTAGGGGCCTAGGACAAGCGTCCTCCATGTCCCCAGGGCCTGGCCTCGGCTTGGGTCCACGTCCACCCCAACTCGGCCAGTGAGCATGCCTGCGCGGGACCTCTGCAGCACCCTCTCGGCCGCTGTCCAACCCTCCACTGCTTTGCCTGACCTGGCTGGGGTTGACTGGCCCTGGCCTCCCGCACCCCCGGGGACAGCTTCTCCTCCCCTTCGTGCCAGCTGCCCATTCCCCTTCAGCTGCTCCAATTTCATGGTGCTCAAATGTTCAAGGTCATGGGGTCGGCTGGCAGGGATCTCCTCCCCTACTTCCCAGCAGCTGGGTCCACCCGGCGCCCCACACACACTGGCCAGCGGCTTGGCTGGTCTCCTCCTGTGCTGAGCCACCAATTGCTGGGTGAGCTCCGTCGAGTCCCGGACTCCCTTGGGGCCCCAGCAGCCCAGGTGACCACATCCTGCCTGCTGGCCTTGTTCCTCTCCAGACCTGAAGAACAGGAGGGATGCTCCTCCCCCTGTCCGCCCAGAAAGATCCCAGGGAAGGACTATGATTGGGCCTGCTGAAGCCATACGCCCATCTCTGCACGAATCATAGTGGTCAGGAGAGTGGGAAACTGTGATTGGCTGGGTCTGGGTCACATGTTTTCCTGTTGCCAAGGGGTAAGGGCAAAATACTGTGATTGGCACTTGCCCCTAGGACCTCAGGGAAGGGGCAGGGCAGAAGTCCTTCCCCCACACAAGGGCACAACCCTCAGGCAGGGAAGAGGTGAGAGGCACAGCCAGCTGCCAGACTGCACGGCAGGACATGTCCGAGGGGAGGGTGGGCAGGGTGAGATGTCTCTTCCTGAGGGCACCCTGAACTCCCATGCATCCAGAGAGCAGGCCCCGTGACCACCCAGGGCAGGCCTTTGGGAGGCTCTGCCAGGCTGTCCTGGTGCCTGGCCTCTCCCTGCCACCGGAGCACACATTGCGAACATCTGGCGCTGGCCTGCTGCTGGGGGTCCCTCCTGAGGTTCCCTGCCGCTGACAGGAACCAGTGCGTGGTTTTATTACCCGCAGAGCACATCTGGGAACACTCTGCGCCAGCCCTGGAGCCTATGCCAGCCGTGTGGTGGCAGCGGCCCAGGAAGGCACCCTCCTCCTCTTCCTCCCCC